TCGAGCTCCAATCGCCGAGCGCGAAGACACGCTGTTCAACGTGTCAATGCGAAAGACTCTATACGGACCTATCGCTCCAGAAGAGAAGGCTCTGGTATTGCAGAAGGTCCCGGTCGAGCGCTACCCGCCGCCTGCGATGCTTCCTCAGCCGGATGGCGAGAAGCGTCGGTTCACAAATATCACTGTCCCCAGCATGCGTCGTTTCGTGACTGACAGCGGAAAACTTGCTAAATTGGACCAACTGCTATTCAAGCTCAAGGAAGAAGGCCACCGCGTACTACTGTATTTCCAGATGACAAGAATGATCGACCTCATGGAGGAGTATCTCACCTACCGCAATTACAAGTATTGCAGACTTGATGGTTCTACGAAGTTGGAGGATCGTCGTGACACTGTTCACGATTTCCAAACGCGCCCCGAGATCTTCGTTTTCCTACTGTCGACTCGTGCTGGTGGTCTTGGTATCAATCTTACATCCGCGGATACGGTCATCTTCTACGATAGCGATTGGAATCCTACCATCGACTCACAGGCAATGGATCGAGCGCATCGTCTTGGTCAGACAAAGCAAGTCACAGTTTACCGTCTCATCACACGCGGTACCATCGAAGAGCGTATTCGGAAGCGTGCAATGCAGAAAGAGGAAGTGCAACGCGTTGTCATCCAAGGAGGCGGTGCCCGCGGCGTCGACTTCAGCGGCCGCCGCCCGCCCGAAAACCGCAACCGCGATATTGCCATGTGGCTCGCCGACGACGAACAAGCTGAGCTCATCGAGCAGCGAGAAAAGGAGTTGCTTGAAAGCGGCGAGCTGGATAAGCAGACCAAGAAGCGAGGTGGCAACAAGAGAAAGCGGGAGGCAGTCAGTCTGGATGAGATGTACCACGAGGGTGAGTAGACCACATTGATTATCGCACGATTCTATTGGATTCAATATACTAACTGTAAATCGTTGTAGGCGAGGGTCATTTCGATGATGGCAGCAAACCTTCTGGCACAGCCACTCCCGTTGAAGCCGGAGACGCAAAAGCCGCCAAGAAGCGAAAGGGAGGCAGCAAGAAGGCCAAGACAACAAAACAGCGACTCGCCATCGCTGACGGAGAGATGGACATTTAACCCATTGCGGCGGGGGTTACTATGCTTAAGACATCATCAGGTCGCGAATAGCGCTTCTCGCAACAGAAGCCCGAAGACCTTGTACAAAATAAGGAGGGGGGGAATACGGCGTTACATTGGCATCACCTACATACGTGCGGAGACAGGCTCTTGGCGGGTCGAGCACACATATTCATAGAGCTAGCTAATTGTCTTTTCTTTTCCTTTTTTTTTCTTTCTTTTTTATTTATCTTTTATTTTATTTATTTTTTTGCAAAGGGGACGAGAGGGAGGAATGGGAATGGCGCAACAGTTGTGTGTCGCGCTAGGCGATACTTTGACTTTGCTGCAAAAAATCGGATTGCTTCTCTCGCAGAGAGCCCCCCAAAATCATTCGTAGACACGGACTAGGGCCTGATGTATCGTTGTAGGATTATGATAGAAGGACGAAACTCATGGAGTCAATCGATGCATGCATGCCCGCTGAGGCGTTTAGCTGAACCAAAACTACATCTTAATTGTATTATGGCTCTTTTGATGACTATGTGCATGGTGCAGTGTCGCTGTCAAAATCGTTACTGCACTACGACTTGCTGATTTAAACTAATATCCATGCCATGAGTAGGTTTTTATTACCCTTCTGATGATTATATTCCTGCAGTATACTGTGGATAGTCCTATTGCAACTGGCCAACATCATCAAGGTACCTAACATTGAGATCCCATGAGTTACGACATTGTTATTCCTGTTCACTTCTATGTTCTCCCCCCTCGCCGGTTTCCCTAGGGTGACGACAACAGGCAGCACTTCGCATGGGCCTAGATATCTACCTAAGGTAAGAGGGCTATTTGGATGAAATCGTTAAGTAGTTCATATCTTGAAATTGAGTCACGACGATGCATTGAGCTCGGAAGTTTGGTTCCTACTGCCCCTTGTTATCCACCAACTGCCCCTTATTATCGTCTACCCGCTCCTTACCTTCTGTCAAAGCATCGAGCTGATCCCAGAACATAGGGTCAATCAGCTCCTTCAACAACTTGTCTTCACTGGGTCGTCTCATGAATTCGATCTCAGCTTCTGTCATCTTCATTTTGTAACGGAACCTCGCACGGATAAGCTGACGTTTGTCTTCGGGAGTGCTAAGTTTCCCAGTAGGAGGGCGAGACTGTGGGTACTAAGGCAGCAGACTCTCTAGTTCTTTGAGTACATCAGAGGGCAAGGTTCCTTCAACCGTTTTACTATTTTACGGTCAGACGGAAGACTTTCGGCCAAATTGGGTGGGTTTCTCACAACTCAGTGCCTTTCCATTTGTACCAAGAGACTGGAGGTTCGTCGTTATTGGTCCGACAATGATCGAGGAAGAAGTAACAGGTGCGATTATGGAAGGCAAATTCAGCACGGTATATACTCCAGCGGTACTTGGTATATTCATGATCCTGGTTCCAAAGATGCTGGCATATGAGGTTGTTGATCTTCTGACATCGGTCATAGAAATCATCGCCTGGGACAAGGTGTGTCTTTGTTTGTACCGCTACTCTCATGGGAGTATTTGAGACTTCTTGACCGTCAGACATATTCCTACTGCCGTCTGAATTTGGATGGGAATATTTCACGTCTCAGGTCGGAGGTAGAATGAAGGATGATTCGACACAGGCACAATACGAGATATCTACATGTATGTTGGTATGTCAGGTAGTATGTTGGTATGTTCCAACGTGTGTTGGTAGGGAGTATGGGAGGGTGTGGTTCGGTGGGTGGTGTAGGGGTATATTGTGTCATGTTCCGCGTGGCGGTCATAGTTCGGGCATGATTCACCCCCTATCTCTTCGCCATTATGCGATCGACTCCATTCGCGGCAGGCTCGATATTTCGAGAATATCAAGTGGCCACAAGTCAAAAAGTGATGCCATTCTTCCACGCACATCTTGATGGCTACCTAGGTATGGATGTTTCTAGGATTTCTGCTAGGCCGCGCCTTGTTAGCTAGTACCTTTGAGGCTGCAATACTGATTTGTCAGAGAAGGGAAGATGGTGTCAAAGCTAATAGAAGCCTTTTTCTTGAGCTGTGAAAGTTGTGAAGTGATGAGTGCTTGGCTACCAAGATGATCGATGTCTACTGCGAACTTTGTCTACCTTATATAGTCACGAGTTTTCAACTGTCAAGAGGCCAACGGCCCATCAACCGTGATATTTACACTTTCCAGCGTTTTAACCTTGGCCTCGCTGTTGGAAATGATTAAAACATATTTCTTGTGCGAATCATATTGGGAGGGAAAGTGTATATACCATCATTGCGGCCAAAGGTTTGGCGTACTTAAAATTGTGGCTTTTATAACTATATGATATAAGAAAACTATCAGAAGTATAATAATTTAACAACTACATATGGGTTGGTCAAAATATAATCGTGAGCCTTAACTTCAAAAATGAGAAACGAACGAACACTGATGATATGGCAATCTATAGCGCTGGAAAGAAGCAATACTATGTACCTAGGTCAGTGTTTTTATTGTTGATATTGTCGGTTGGGTGGTTCAATTAAAGTTTTCAGGAGTGGCGGCTGGCGTGTAATAATTGGTGGTTATCGCTCAGAGGTAATGGCGTTGGGAGGAGACATTGGCATTTCAATTTGATAAAATAATGGCAGAGTGTAGACTTAGAGGCAACTGAGAAGGAATTGTTGTTCTCGTCATGTTTTCCTTTTTTCTTCTTTTGTCTGCCTTAGATGGATAAGTGCCACCTCGTGACTGAGCTACTAAGGTAATAGGATGGGAGACACTCACAAGGGAGGCGGTAACCTTAGGTGAGGTTGTAATGGTTCAAGATTGATGATGACTACCTCTGAGGGCGCCCAGGACCACATTGGGCACATGCAGCAGAGCCGCAATATAAATAAAGTCCCATTTTTAAAACACATCCCGGGGTACAGCCCAGCTGTTGGTCCTTTTGAGAGAGGAAATAAATTTCTTAGTAGAAAAACAGTGACGTAGGTTATGAGTGACCAAGATGCGAGGATAGTTGTGGCGCTCGGGATTGTTGGTTGGCCCAGTCCAGCGCACCTGTTGACCGTTGGTACTGGCTTGAGTAGTTGGAGGTGGATGGTGGCAGGTTTTTCTATTAGAATATTTTGCAAAGGCATATCCATGTACATCTCCGCCAGTAGATGGACCGTCTCGCGTATCGACAACTGTATCGACAACTGGAATGCCATCACTAATAACGGTACCATCTGGCCTATTGAGGCCTCATTCCCTAGAAGTCTCGACCATCCCATCCATTGAACTTGGGGCCTTGGGCAGACACTTTTACCACCATGAGCCACTACATGAAACATGATGGTTCTGTCGACCAATCCACTGGTCCTTCTAGCTGACTCGCCAGCATTCATCCAGAGATGAAAGGTGGGAGCCATTCAGCATCGGCCTATTGCAATCCCGTTAAGGGTCGAAAACGCTCCTCTCCGCTGAGAAGACTCCTCAGATAGCCGCTTCACCACCATGACTCAGCCTCTTATCTAACATAACTGGATGCGGAGAAGCAGTAGCTTCGGTACGAACAATGATCCCAACGGGGCGTATGGGAGGGACTTGCAAGATGCTTCCTAAAGAAAAAGGGGCGGCGGCGGGGCGTGGTTGACAAGGACTTGAATGTTTATGGGGTGCAAAACCTGCAGATTGTTATTACATCATTATTTCGTAGTGATTTCAATTATAATCATAATAATTCTACATTCTTTTCGAAAATAAGACCTCTTAAATAAGCAATCGTATAATTATGACTATGTTTTATTTATGTTGTTGTCGGGATATAGACACGTGATCAAATAGCCCCATTAATCCATCAGCCACACCCCTATTCTGTACTGGTCAAGCCACCAAGCAGAAAACGAAAGAAAAAAGAAAAAGAGAGGCCACCCTGGGAGTCGAACCCAGAATCTCCTGATTAGCTCCATCAAGCATGTTACGTTTGTTTATACACCAGATCATAGCTGGGCACCACACTCGGTCGTAGTCAGACGCCTTAACCATTGGGCCAAGCAGCCTTTGGGTCCTGATTGGATGAGAGTATGGATGGTCAATTTCGTGTTATGAGACTGGCATAATGGTGGAGGGAGTGAGAAAGAGATGGAGAGAAGTTTGTGTTTGTTATGTGGGTATGGGTATGGATATACGCTAGGAGTTTGCGCTTGGTAATAGCCGGGGAAGAGCATGGGATAAGTCAAGTCAAGTTATGCCAGTCCACAAGGAGCCTGTAGTCACAATCGTCGCAACAGTCCCATGACAATGGGAACTGCAATTCATCATTCGCAGGAAAGATATAGAAATCACAATTCAGTTCAGTTCATTCATTATAGCACAGAAGCATTTTTCTTAACTCATCTAGTCTATTCCAGTTGGCGAAAACTCATCGCATGCCAGCGTCGGTGTTCCGCAAGTTTGCATGGCCTCATCTCGAAATCAATCATAGGCTTTTCAGATCCAAGGCTACAACACCTTGCCTCAATGTCCATTCTATAGACCTCCGAGCCATGGTCATGAATGCGTGGATCCTCATACATCGTACCTTGCGGCACGAGTATCTGTGACGAATGTTTGCATGGCCCTTTAGACCGACAATGACACGTAAAAGGTGGTATGGTGACTTTAGACTGCGCCGGCAGCCAACATCTTCTTTCGCAAGTAGTTCTTGTACTCTCCTATCGTTCCGTTCCACGGCTTGATCGTCTTGTTCTCGCAGACCAGGATCTGCTTCGCAATCTTGTCAAGCAATCTATCAAGTATGTTAGTATTGGTCTGCACAAACTCGAATAAAGAGTGATTTCTTACCGGAAGTCGTGGGAAACCACAATAACACCGCCGGTGAAGTGCTCGATGGCATCTGCCAATGCATCGATGCTGGGAATATCTAAACCGTTCGTAGGTTCGTCAAGGAGAAGCATGTTGGGTGAATCGATGGCAAGCAGGGCGAAGACAATTCGACTCTTCTGACCTTCGGAGAGAGTGCCCATCACGGAGGTCTGCACGGGGCCAGATACTCCGTAACGGCCAAGGCACTGTCGCCAGTACTGGTAATCTTGTGACTTATCTCGGTATCTGTCGCGGACAAAGTCCAAAGCACTCTTGGTCAAGTCAAGTTGCTCAGCGCTGTGCTGAGAGTACATGCCGAGCTTAAGATGTGTGTGACGGCGAACAGAGCCAGAAGTAGGAGAGAGCTTGCCAGTCATGAGGCGCAACAGGGTACTCTTTCCGACACCGTTGGGACCGACGAGGGCTGTTCGGGAGTCCATGTCGAAACCGAGATCAATATGACGATAGAGGTCATCCTTAGCCTCACCCGAGTACGAGAACGTGACATCATCAAAGGACAAGACGGGAGGAGGGAGCTTCTCGACATCAGTGAACCTGAACTTGAATTCCCTCTCTTCCTTCACTTCCTCGATGAGACCATCTGCAATCATCTTGTCGAGAATCTTCTGTCGGGACTTGGCCTGTCGCACCAAGTTGGCGTAGGTACCAGCACTGGCAATGAATTCCTTGATGTGCTTGATTTCCTCCTGCTGCTTCTTGTAGGCGGTCATCTGGTTGGTCTCCTGCTCCGTGCGAGTCTTCATGTAGGAGTCAAAGTTACCACCATAGTACATGAGCTGCTGCTTTCGCATGTCGATCATGTTGGTACACACCCCGTTAATGAAATCCTGCGAGTGGGAAACCAGGATGAGAGTTCGCTCCCACTTCTTGAGGTACTCCTCGAGCCACACGCAAGCTTCAAGATCCAAGTGAGCAGTCGGGTCGTCAAGAAGTAACAAGGTGGGCTTGACAAAGAGCGCCTTGGCAAGAGCAACACGCATACGCCAACCACCGGACATATCCTTGGTCTTCTTGTTGATGGTGACCTTGTTGAAACCAAGACCAGTGAGGATAAGAGAGGCACGGGTCGCAAAAGTTGAAGGGTCCATCTTGTCCATGTGCTATCAAGTCTTTATTAGCATGGTTTGATTCACGTCGCATTACCGGTATACATACCTCATAGATGTCCATCAGCACGGGGCTGTCGGGACCCTCATCCTCGAGCAGTTGCTCTGCTAGTCGATCAAGACGATCCATCTCCTTCTCGGCTTCCTTGAGAACCCATTCCAGAGCACCCAAGTCGGAGGGTGGGGCACCTTCGTTCAGGAGGTAGATGTCGACGTGGTCAGGGATGGGATACTCTCGAGCAGCGATAGCCTTGAGCAAGGTACTCTTTCCGCAACCATTCTCGCCGAGAAGTCCATATCGACGTCCGAATGACAGTTCAAGGTTGGTCTCGTTGAGGAGAACACGACCGTGGAAGGTCAAGCTGGCACTGATGACTTTGACGTCTCGACTGGTGGGGACTGATGCTAAGACACCGGTGGTGATGCGGTCAGATAAACCATCTTTATCGATCTGGTTTGACATGGCCTTAGCCTTCTCCATTTTCTTATCGTCGGTCGCAGGGACATCGTCAAGGTCGGGAGGGGTATCATCGCCGGCAACGGAACCAGCAGCGCTTGCGTTCTTGGAAGCGGCCTTAGAGCCAGCCTTGGATCGAGAGACGAGGGTCTTCTTCTCACCCTTTCCGTCAGCGGCCTTCTTGGCGAGTCGCTTCTCCTTGGATGCGGAAACCATCTTGATTGATTGATGGATTGTCTGTTTGTTTTTGTCTAATACCGACTAGAAAAAGGGAGATGATTGATGATGGATGACGGATGATGATGATGAACGAAACGATCGAAGAAATCGAAGTCGAAATCGAAATAGAGCAATCGAGGGTATTGTATGAATTGTTATGAATTGTAGAAATTATAGAATAAATTCTACCCCGCTTAAGGCTACTTTATTATTGATAGCGACCGCGAGTTGTCAATTGCGATCACAAGCGAATGTGACCGAGTCTCCAAAGGAAGATAATAAAATGGAAATGAGTGGGCAACTTTCAAAAGAGGAGAGAGTTACCTTGTGTTGTTTTTCACCACGATTTCGATGGTGAAAACACAAAAAAAAAAAGTTGGGAAGGGAATAAAAGTTTATCCTCCGCGATTTGGGTTTGGGTTTGGGTAGTTCCAGGAAAATGACGGTGGGAAGGAATCTGCGCGGGGGCGATAGAAAAGTCCCTTGGGTCGTTGCTTGGTGGGGCTTTTTGTAGTGGGGCTTTCAAATTTTCGTTCTTCACAAGTAAAATCTTAACAATAATAATCGTTGTGGGCCAGATGGATACCTGCGTCCTTCTGCCGTCTTAAAAGGGCTGAAAGGGTAACAGGTGGGGGCGGGTCCATATTCACCGCTTTCGTTTTACAGGGTACTTAATTAACTGTGAAACCATTGACGTCAATGGTATTATTTTCTAACATTTACATATGAAGCCATCGTGGATATTTCGTACAATAAACTTTATGTATTACCTTAACCTTGTATACTTAGGTCTGTATCTAGGTACTCATTTAATCTCAATAAAAGGCCGGCTCAAGTTGAATTAAGACCATAAATGACTTTGTCTTCTTATCAACATTCACGAAAAACATTCACGAAACAACCTTAAACACCATACACGTTGCCCCTAGCAACAGTCATGCGAAAGAAACAAGACAGAAGTATAAGGTCAACTTGATTTCAGGTATATTAAGTAAGTTGAATTAAATGATTGAATCAAGTCTACAAGAGACTCTACTGAGATTATCAGCTCAAAGTTTGACAATCTACCGTACCAAGGTATCATGAGCTACGCAGTAGACTGCTCCGTCATGCTTCAAGGCACTTCAAACAAAGTGTCCCGCTTCCTAATTGTAAAAATCGCCTCGGAGGGGGTCGTTACTAATGCCTTCTATCCCTACATACAAGCAGTTAGGCCTATCCGCAGGAATTTACTTTGCTCTCCTCGGACCGTCACAGTTGTTACTTATAGAACTTTCTGTCTCGAAGGCTTGACCGATTACCCTTGTCTCAGCCTTTGGTCTTCACCTTACGGCTTCTACCTAACGAACTAATATCCCTCAATTACTATTCCCAGGAAAATCGAAATTGAAAACTCGCAAGGACAGTACTCTCGTTCGGAATCCGAGTCTAGGAAGTATGAGACTGTTTGGCTCGGCAACGGATGGGACAGTGAGATATTCTACCTAAGAATATCACATGTACATCGCATCCCGTGATGGTAGGCTTTTGCCCCTGAGGCATAACCCAACGATTCATTTGAATTCGTGACATTCTAAGTCGAAACGTCCCTGCTACACGGCTTTCAATGTTTGGCTAGAAGCCTGGTGATCATTGAAACTCGGTGTCTTTTCATCCACAGTGCGTAATTAACACTATTCGTCCAATAAGGGGTCAACCAAGGTAGGTAACTCGACATCGGAGATCCGCAGATTATCAACTCCTGATTAATCGTAATGTCCTCCATGCTATTTGCAATATCTTAAAACCGATTAGTCTCTTGCCGATGGTGAGCACTTATCCCACGTCGGGTTGAGGATGTTCTCTAGATTACCGTACTCGCATCGAAAAGTTGGCATACCGTCGCTTTGGTGCGGTCTTGAGCATACACGAATAAGTTCCAATGTCCGTTAACCGAAATCATTCCGTGGGAACTAGCTCTATCATCTAACTTGTTTTTAGAGTCATCAGACAGGGCCCTTGAAATTTCCATAAGCTCCAGGGTTGACCACGGTTTCGTGGTCATACCGGGGCGGCAAATCATAGGAATGGAGCTCTGATCTTGTCGCCGTTGCATCTAATTCTCCCCTCAAAGCCTCGCCGTGGATCTCGGTCGGACGTTCTTGGCTATGCAGCTCGTGGTAGACTTCTGGTGTCTCCATTTCTCTCACCCCCGGCCCCTGCCATATGGCATTCACAGGCGATGGGCCCTTTGGCACATCAGGCGCGCCGGGAACTCCACTCCTCGTCCCCTTTTCTTGCAGCGCGGCGGCGGCCGCTGCTTGTTTACTCGAACGCCGGTGACGCCACACTAGCAACACAGCGACCGCGGCAATGATTATTGCGCTGGCGGCTACTCCGATGCTAAGACCTA